GTGAGTGTGTACTCACCTATATGTACTCACCTATATGTGCTTGCAGGATCGAGCATTGACTCTTGGATCCCGCCTTTCTAGCTATCGGTTGTTTACAGCAATGACTCCTGTCCCATTTCCCTATCATACCTAGTTTTAAAAGTATGAATAGTATTTGCTTCCACAACCTGTTCCCCAAGTGCATTCCATTTTTCTACTACTCTCACGCTAAAAGAAAACTTCCTAACATCTCCGTGACTCATCTGAGTTTCCAGTTTCCACCCATGTCCCCTCGTTCTGTTATTATTACGTGTGAACATTTCATCTATTTCCACTTTGTCAATTCCCCTGAGTATTTTATATGTCCCTATCATATCTCCTCTCTCCCTTCTTTTCTCTAGTGTCGTAAGGTTCAGTTCCTTCAGCCGCTCTTCATATCCCATCCCTCGTAGCTCTGGGACAATCTCTGCAGCCTGTTTAAGTCCTCTTGGAGGATCCTACAATCCTCGTCTGTCACAACTCTTCTCATTAATTTTGCGTCATCTGCACGTCATCGTCATGACGCGTCATCGTCATCTTGTGTGTGTGTGTGTGTGTGTGTGTGTGTGTGTGTGTGTGTGTGTGTGTGTGTGTGTGTGTGTGTGTGTGTGTGTGTGTGTGTGTGTGTGTGTGTGTGTGTGTGTGTGTGTGTGTGTGTGTGTGTGTGTGTGTGTGTGTGTGTGTCTGTGTGTGTGTGTTTTATTGACTTTCATTGCTCCCTTGGCCTATAAGAGTTCTTCTATTTCCAACAACAAAAGTTCAGGTAATACAGTTAGTACACAGTAATACATTTATTACATTTATATTACAATGTTGCTGTTGGTAGCATTAATACTTCGTTGTCCTTGTTATTTCGTATAAAGTAGTGCCCCTTGGAGGCTGGTGTAGATTACTAATGTTGTTAGCAGTGATAACCTGGTGTAGTTAATAGTGTTAATAACCATATTCTCAATTGTCCAAGAGCAATGTAACTTAGCTAATACTTAAGTGGTGATGGCAGAGCGCCAGTATGAGAGTGTTGGAAGGAGTGGTAAGGCACTCACTTTTAGAGATTTGCTCATTGCTGTCAAGTAGGCTTATACCCACCCCACAGGGCATCGTGGTGTCCAACAGGGCATGGAGGTGCCCCACAGAACATCGAGGCATCCCAAAGAGCATGGAGGAGTCCCACAAGATATCAAGGCATCCCACAGGGCATGGAGGTGCCCCACAGGGCATCGAGGCGGCCCACATGGCATCGAAGCGTCCCATAGGGAATGAAGGCGTCCCATAGGGCATGGAGGTGCCCCACAGGGCATTGAAGCGTTCCACAGTGTATGGAGGCGTCCAACATTGTATGGTAGTGTCCCACAGGGCATTGAAGCATTCCAAATGGAATAGAGGCATCCCACAGGACATCGGGGCGTCTCACAATGCATGGAGGCATCATACAGGATATCGAGGCATCCCACAAGGCATGGAGGCGTTTCACAGGGCATGGAGGCGTTTCACAGGGCATGGAGGCGTTTCACAAGGCATGGAGGCGTTTCACAGGGCATGGAGGCGTTTCACAGGGCATGGAGGCGTTTCACAAGGCATGGAGGCGTTTCACAAGGCATGGAGGCGTTTCACAGGGCATGGAGGCGTTCCACAGGGCATGGAGGCGTTTCACAAGGCATGGAGGCGTTTCACAAGGCATGGAGGCGTTTCACAAGGCATGGAAGCGCCCCACAGGGCATTAAGGCGTCCGGATGCTCACGCGATCTAGAAATTATTCACTGTGAACTTCCCCTATGATTAATTTTGCATCAAAGAATATCGTTCATATTTAAATTATTTAATGTTAGAAAACGCTGCTAATACTTTTTGCTGGTAGGGTCTACAGTAGCCATAATTAGGTTATCGCGTGAAGTAGACCTGAAAAACTAAATCTTTGGCTGCGCCAAACACTGTAATTTCATGGCAAGTTTACCAGGTATTCTTGTCAAGAAGGTTTACAACAGAGGTATACCAGGAAGGTTTACTATTGGGGTTTAATAGGAAGATTAACTAATGAGGCTTACTAATGAAGTGTACTTGGGATGTTTGCCAATGAAGTAGACTTAGGAGGCTTATCAGGGAGGTTTACCTTCGAAGTGTAATTGGAAGGTTTACCAGGGAGGTTTCACATGAAAGTTTTCTAATGAGGGGTAACAAAATGTTTCCCAGACGGGTTAATAATGAGGTTTACCAGGTAGGTTTACCAAGAGGTTTACCAAGGAATTATACCCAGACGGGTTAATAACGAAGTATACCCAGAACGGTTACTAATGAGGTTTACCAGGAGGCTAACTAATGAGGAGTAACAGGGAAGTTTACCAAGCATGCGTCATGCAAATCCCAATCATTCCCTTAACACCAGTATGAAACATTTGTATACGCGACACATGTGTTGTCCTCGTGTTACACAGAGCAAGATGGAGTCATATGTAACACAGAGCATGACGGAGCCACATGTTACACAGAGCATGATGGAGCCACATGTTACACAGAGCATGATGGAGCCACATGTTACACAGAGCATGATGGAGCCACATGTTACACAGAGCATGACGGAGCCACATGTTACACAGAGCATGATGGAGCCACATGTTACACAGAGCATGACGGAGCCACATGTTACACAGAGCATGATGGAGCCACATGTTACACAGAGCATGATGGAGCCACATGTTACACAGAGCATGATGGAGCCACATGTTACAGAGCATGACGGAGCCCCATGATGATGGAGCCACATGTTACACAGAGCATGATGGAGCCACATGTTACACAGAGCGTGATGGAGCCACATGTTACACAGAGCATGATGGAGCCACATGTTACACAGAGCATGATGGAGCCACATGTTACACAGAGCATGATGGAGCCACATGTTACACAGAGCATGATGGAGCCACATGTTACACAGAGCATGATGGAGCCACATGTTACACAGAGCATGATGGAGCCATGTTACATGTTTACACAGAGCATGATGGAGCCACATGTTACACAGAGCATGATGGAGCCACATGTTACACATGATGGAGCATGAGCATGGAGCCACATGTTACACAGAGCATGATGGAGCCACATGTTACACAGAGCATGACGGAGCCACATGTTACACAGAGCCTGATGGAGCCACATGTTACACAGAGCATGATGGAGCCACATGTTACACAGAGCATGATGGAGTCACATGTTACACAGAGCATGATGGAGCCACATGTTACATAGAGCATGACAGAGCGACATGTTACACAGAACGGTATGGAGCCACATGTTTCACACATCATGACAGAACCACATGTTACACAGAGCATGATGGAGCCGCATGTTACTGAGGAAATGACGGAACCACATGTTACACAGAGCATGATGGAGTCACATGTTATAGAGAGCATGATGAAGCCACATATTACATAGAGCATAATAGAGTCATATGTTACACAGAGCATGATGAAGCCACATGTTACATAGAGCATGATGGAGCAACATGTTTCACAGAGCATGATGGAGCCACATGTTACACAGAGCATGATGGAGCCACATGTTACACAGAGCATGATGGAACCACATGTTATGAAGAACATGATGAAGCCACATGTTACACAGAGCATGATGGAGCCACATGTTACACAGAGCATGATGGAGCCACATGTTACACAGAGCATGATGGAGCCACATGTTACACAGAGCATGACGGAGTCACATGTTACATAGAGGATGACGGAGCCACATGTTATAGAGCATGAAGGAGCCACATGTTACACAGAGCATGATGGAGCCACATGTTAAACAGACCATGATGGAGCCACATGTTACACAGAACATGATGGAACCACATGTTACACAGCGTGATGGAGACACATGTTACACAGTGTATGATGGAACAACATGTTTCACAAAGCATTATGGATCCACATGTTACATAGAACATGATGGAGCCGCATGTTACACAGAGCATGATGGAGCAATATGTTACATTGAGCATGATGGAACGACATGTTATATAGAGCATGACGGAGCCACAAGTTATATAGAGCAAGATGGAGTCACATGTTACAGAGAGTATGATGGAGCCTCATGTAAGATAGTTCATAATGGAGTCACATGTTATACAGAGCATGATGAAGCCATATGTTACGCATAGCATGATGGTGCCACATGTTACACAGAGCATGATGGAGCTACATGTTACACAAAGCATGATGGATTCATATGTTACATAGAGCAAGATGGAGTCACATGTTACACAGAGTATGATGGATCCACATGTTACACAGAGCATGATAGAGCCTTATGTTGCACAGAGCATGATGGAGCCACAAGTTACACAGAGCATGATGGATCCACATGATACACAGAACATGAAGGAGCCACATGTTGCACAAACCCTGATGTAGACACATGTTAAACAGAGCAAGATGGAGCCACATGTTATAGAGTATGATGGATCCACTTGTTACACAGAGCATGATGGGGCCTTACGTTGCACAGAGCATGATGGAACCACATGTGACACAGAGCATGACGGAGCCACATCTTACACAGAGCAGGATGGAGCCACATGTTACACAGAGCATGACGGAGCCACATGTTACACAGAGCATGACGGAGCCACATGTTACACAGAGCATGATGGAGCCACATGTTACACAGAGCATGATGGAGCAATATGTTACAGAGCATGATGGAACGTCATGTTATATAGAGCATGACGGAGCATGAGCAAGATGGAGCCACATCTTACACAGAGCAGGATGGAGCCACAGGTTACACAGAGCATGACGGAGCCACATGTTACACAGAGCAGGATGGAGCCACATGTTACACAGAGCATGAAGGAGCCACATGTTACATAGAACATGATGGAGCCACATGTTACACAGAGCATGATGGAGCCAAATGTTACACAGAGCATGATGGAGCCCACTGTTACACAGAGCATGACGGAGCCACATGTTACATAGAGCATGATGGAGCCACATGTTACACAGAGCATGATGGAGCCAAATGTAACACAGAGCATGATGGAGCCACATGTTATGCAGAGCATGATGAAGCCCCAAGTTACACAGAGCATGATGGAGCCGCCTGTTACACAGAGCATGATGGAGCCACATGTTACAAAGAGCATGACGGAGCCACATGTTACACAGAGCCTGATGGAGCCACATGTTACACAGAGCATGATGGAGCCACATGTTACACAAAGCATGATGGAGCCACATGTTATGCAGAGCATGATGAAGCCCCAAGTTACACAGAGCATGATGGAGTCACATCTTACACAGAACATGATGGAGCCACATGTTACACAGAGCATGACGTAGCCAGATGTTACAAAGAATATGATGGAGCCACATGTTACGTAGAGCATAATGGAGTCACATGTTACACAGAGCTTGATGAAGCCACATGTTACATAGATCATGATTGAACAACATGTTTTACAGAGTATGACGGAGCCACATGTTACACTGAGTATGATGGAGCCACATGTCATGTGTTGCACAGAGCATGATAGGGACACATGTTACACAGGACATGATGGAGTCACAGCATGATGAAGCCACATGTTACACTGAGTATGACGGAGCCACATGTTACACTGAGTATGATGGAGCCACATGTCACACGTAACATGGCGAAGCCACATGTTGCACAGAGCATGATAGGGACACATGTTACACAGGACATGATGGAGTCACATGTTACACAGAGACAGATGGAGCCTTATGTAGCACAGCATGATGAAGCCACATGTTACACTGAGTATGACGGAGCCACGTGTTACACTGAGTATGATGGAGCCACGTGTTACACTGAGTATGACGGAGCCACGTGTTACACTGAGTATGACGGAGCCACGTGTTACACTGAGTATGATGGAGCCACGTGTTACACTGAGTATGACGGAGCCACGTGTTACACTGAGTATGACGGAGCCACGTGTTACACTGAGTATGATGGAGCCACGTGTTACACTGAGTATGACGGAGCCACGTGTTACACTGAGTATGACGGAGCCACGTGTTACACTGAGTATGATGGAGCCACGTGTTACACTGAGTATGATGGAGCCACGTGTTACACTGAGTATGACGGAGCCACGTGTTACACTGAGTATGACGGAGCCACGTGTTACACTGAGTATGATGGAGCCACGTGTTACACTGAGTATGACGGAGCCACGTGTTACACTGAGTATGACGGAGCCACGTGTTACACTGAGTATGATGGAGCCACGTGTTACACTGAGTATGATGGAGCCACGTGTTACACTGAGTATGATGGAGCCACGTGTTACACTGAGTATGACGGAGCCACGTGTTACACTGAGTATGACGGAGCCACGTGTTACACTGAGTATGACGGAGCCACGTGTTACACTGAGTATGATGGAGCCACGTGTTACACTGAGTATGACGGAGCCACGTGTTACACTGAGTATGACGGAGCCACGTGTTACACTGAGTATGACGGAGCCACGTGTTACACTGAGTATGATGGAGCCACTTCATACACAGAGGATGTGTGGAGCTACATGTTACTAAGAGTATGATGGAGCCACATGTTACATAGAGCTCGAGAGGGCCACATGTTTCACAGAGCATGATGGAGTCACATGTTACACAGAGCATGATGGAGCCACATGTTACATAGAGTATGATGGAGCAACATGTTACATTAAACATAATGGAGCCACAATTTACAGAGGGAGAGCGTGTACACAGTACTTGAGAGGGAGAGAGGCTTGTACATTCAGATCTATCAATACAACTTCAAATCTATCAATACATCTTCAAATCTATCAATACACCTTCAGTTCTATCAATACACCTTCTGATCTATCAATACACTTTCAGATCTATCAATACACCTTCTGATCTATCAATACACTTTCAGATCTATCAATACACCTTCTGATCTATCAATAGACCTTCAGGTCGCTCAATACACCTTCAGATCTATAAATACACCTTCTGATCTATCAATACACCTTCTGATCTGTCAATAGACCTTCTGATCTATCAATACACCTTCTGATCTGTCAATAGACCTTCAGATCTATCTATACACCTTCAGATCTATCAATACGTCTTCTGATCTATCAATACACCTTCTGATCTATCAATACACCTTCTGATCTATCAATACACCTTATGACCTATGAATACACCTTCTGATCTATCAATACACCATCTGATCTATCAGTTCACCTTATGATCTATCAATACACCTTCTGATCTACCAATACACCTTCTGATCTACCAATACACCTTCTGATCTATCAATACACCTTCTGATCTATCAATACACCTTCTGATCTATCAATACACCATCTGATCTATCAGTTCACCTTATGATCTATCAATACACCTTCTGATCTACCAATACACCTTCTGATCTATCAATACACCTTCTGATCTATCAATACACCTTCTGATCTACCAATACACCTTCTGATCTATCAATACACCTTCTGATCTATCAATACACCTTCTGATCTATCAATACACCTTCTGATCTACCAATACACCTTCTGATCTATCAATACACCTTCTGATCTACCAATACACCTTCTGATCTATCAATACACCTTCTGATCTACCAATACACCTTCTGATCTATCAATACACCTTCTGATGCATCAATATATCTTCTGATGTCTCACTATACCTGGTGATCTAACATTACACATAATACATACAAGTAGCCTGTCATTATACCTGTGACCTATTAAGAGTGTAATACATGCACACTATATGTGGGCAAAGGTTTTGTCTACATTATATGTGTACCCTTAACTAGACCATATTTTCCAGAGGTATAAATGTGGATCCATCTATAACGGCCCAGAATGTCTTGTGGAATCGACGTGAGATCATTTAATGCTCTGAAATTAAGCCGGAAGAAAGAATTCAATACTAGTCTGATTTTTTACATTTGTGAAAGTTGTATACCTGCTTGGTACGTGCTTGATGGGATTCTGGGAGTTCTTCTACTTCCCAAGCAGGCCCGAGGCTGGCTTGACTTGGGTGGGTTTGGTCCAACAGGCTGTTGCTTGTAGCGGCATGCATACCTTGCCTTGAGGTTACCTTGAGGTGCTTCCGGGGCTTAACGTCCCCGCGGCCCGGTCGTCGACCAGGCCTCCTGGTTGCCGGACTGATCAACCAGGCTGTTTGACGCGGCTGCTCGCAGCCTGACGTATGAGTCACAGCCTGGTTGATCAGATATCCTTTGGAGGTGCTTATCCAGTTCTCTCTTGAACACTGTGAGGGGTCGGCCAGTTATGCCCCTTATGTGTAGCGGAAGCGTGTTGAACAGTCTCGGGCCTCTGATGTTGATAGTTCTCTCTTGAACACTGTGAGGGGTCGGCCAGTTATGCCCCTTATGTGTAGTGGAAGCGTGTTGAACAGTCTCGGGCCTCTGATGTTGATAGTTCTCTCTTGAACACTGTGAGGGGTCGGCCAGTTATGTCCCTTATGTGTAGCGGAAGCGTGTTGAACAGTCTCGGGCCTCTGATGTTGATAGTTCTCTCTTGAACACTGTGAGGGGTCGGCCAGTTATGTCCCTTATGTGTAGCGGAAGCGTGTTGAACAGTCTCGGGCCTCTGATGTTGATAGAGTTCTCTCTCAGAGTACCTGTTACACAGGTATGTGCATGTGCAGGCCCACATATCCACCACAGCCCGGTTGGTCCAGCACTTCTTGAAGAAAACTATCTAGTTTTCTCTTGAAGATGTCCACGGTTGTTCCGGCAATATTTCTTATGTTCGCTGGGAGAACGCTGAACAACCGCGGACCTCTGATGTTTATACAGTGTTCTCTGATTGTGCCTATGACACCCCTGCTCTTCACTGGTTCTATTCTGCAATTTCTTCCATATCGTTTACTACAGTAAGTTGTTATTTTACTGTGTAGATTTGGAACCTGGCCCTCCAGTATTTTCCACGTGAGTATTATTTGATGTTTCTTACTTCTCCTTACTAGCGAGTACATCTGGAGAGCTTTGAGACAATCTCAATAATTTAGGTGCTTTATCGCGTCTATGTATGCCGTATATGTTCTCTGTATTCCCTCCATTTCAGCAATCTCTTTTGCTCTGAAGGGGGAAGTGAGTACTGAGCAGTACTCAAGATGGGACAGCACAGGTGATTTGAATAGTGCAACCATTGTGAGGGAATCCCTGGATTTGAAAGTTCTCGTAATTCATCCTATCATTTTTCTGGCTGATGCAATATTTGTTTGGCTATGCGCCTAAACGTTAGGTCTTCAGACATCATTATTCCCAAATCCTGGACATGCTGCTTTCCTACAATGGGTAGGTTTGATTGTGTTTTGTACCCCGTGTTGCTTAAATATCTTCATTTTTACCGTACCAGAGTACCCGGAATTTATCACTGTTAAACATATTGTTATTTTCTTCTGCCCGATTGAAAACTTTATTAATATTTGCTTGTAGCTTTTCAATGTCTTCAGCAGAGATCATTTTCATGCTGATTTTTGTGTCATCTGCAGAGGATGATAGGAAGCTGTGACTTGTATTTTTGTCTATATCTGATATGAGAATAAGGAAAAGCAGTGATGCAAGGACTGTACCCTGAGGTGCATAGCTTTTAACTGCTCTTTCACTCGATTTTATATGGTTGACTGTTATTATTTGTGTTCTGTTCACCGTCCTACTTTACCAGTTATTCCAAATGACCTCCTTTTGTGTGCTATCACTCCATGGTCACATTTATCAAATGCCTTTGCGAAGCCCGTGTATACCACTTCTGTATTCTGTGTTTCTCTTCTTCTAATGTGACTTTGTCGTAATGGTCAAGTAGCTGTGAGAGGCATGATCTTCCCGCTCTAAATCCCTGTTGGCCGGGGTTGTAAAGGCCATTGGTCTCCATGTAGCTGGTGACCTGACTCCTGATCACTCTCTCAAATACTTTTATTATGTAGGACGTTAGTGCAGCTGGTCTAAAATTCTTAGCAATGTTTTGCTCCCTTTCTTGTGTAGAGGAGCTATGTCTGCTGATTTAAGTGCATCTTGTATCTCCCCCGTGTCCAAGCTCTTCCTCCACACTTATATTTACAGGGGTTTGGATATCACGCATTAAGAAGTTGTCCGGATCTTCCACTTTCATGATTGGAGTGCTAAACATGTCCTCATACTGTTTTTTTTTTTTTTAGGATTTCACTAATTTATTTGTCATCCTCAGAATATGACCCTTCACTCGAACGAATAGGTCCAATACTGGCAGTGATTTTTGCTTTTGATTTAGCATACATGAAGAAATATTTTGGGTTTTCTTTATTTCTTGAATTGCTTTCTGTTC